CTACGACGAGACCTACCGTGAGGTGAAGTACGGCCGGGGCTGCCATGCCCGCGGGCCAGGCGCTAGCCCCAGAGCCCGGCTGCTGCCGCTCACGCCCTGGCCCCCAGGCCTCCTGCAGATGCAGCTGATCCTGCACTACGACGAGACCTACCGTGAGGTGAAGTACGGCAGCATGGGGCTCCCGGACATCGACAGCAAGATGCTGATGGGCATCAACGTGACGCCCATCGCTGCCCTGCTGTACACGCCGGTGCTCATCAGGTGTGCCACGGGGGCTGGGCCCTGGCATGGCGCCCTGGGGCAGGAGCCCAGGGGAGGAACTGGGCGTGGGGGAGGAAGTGAGAGGGTGCCCAGCACCTTGAGCAGAAATGAAACTCACTCCTGGCCTCTCCCAGCCACGCTGTGCCCACGTGGCTTCTCAAGGCCTCCCCCCTCCTGGGTGTGGGGCCCCGGGAGCGTCCGTGGGCTCTCGGGACAGTCTGCACCTGGCGTGCGTCTCCACCGAGGGGCGTCTCTGCTCCGGAAGCCCAGGAGCCTTGGAGGCAGCCTCCCAGCCAGCGCCAGAAACGCCCTCCACGGTCTGGGCACATTGGATGGGTTGACGCAAACCTGCATCATGGGCGCAGACAGCTTTAGGATCACAGCTGCAGTCAGAGCGGAAGCCCGTCCCAGTGCCGCCCGTCCCGGCGGCGCGACGCTGAGCTCCGCCCGCCACCAGCCCGAGTGCCCACGTGCTCGGTGTGCAGGCACGCGCAGTTCCCTTCTGCTGGCTCGCTGGCCCGCAGACTCGGCGCGGGCTCTCTGCGGAGATGGCCCGGCCGCGGCTGGGAGTTGGGCCTCAGTCTCTGCTCCTCCGTCCGTCACTCCAAGCTTGTTGCCGCTTCCTTCTTAGAGTTCAAAAACCTTCCTCGGATGAACCCTCAGGGGAGCTCTCACTAGCCACAGGGGGACGGCCTCGGGGAAACGCGTCCCTCGGGAGAGTCACCGCCCACACTCGCTCTCCCCCATCTGCGTGGGAGCTCTGGCCTTAGACCCCAAGACGCCCGAGGCTGGACGGCACACCCACGTGCCACGGAAGGTGTCCGCCGAGTGACGCCAAGCCCCGGGGGCTGCCCCTTGCCCCAGGCTGCCCCAAGCTGCACACTTCCCGCATGGGGTGACAGCCCGCATCCCCCCCAGTCTGGGGCGCTGAGCAGGCCTCCTGCGTCAGGCTCCTGCGTGACCAGGCACCTGGACCTGTGGCCAGCGGGACGGTCCAGGTAGGCCCATGGTGCCAACATCACTCCCCCTGCTCACAGGTTCTTTGGCACCAAGTGGATGATGTTCCTGGCTGTGGGCATCTACGCCCTCTTCGTCTCCACCAACTACTGGGAGCGCTACTACACCCTCGTGCCCTCGGCCGTGGCCCTGGGCATGGCCATCGTGCCTCTTTGGGCCTCTATGGGCAACTACATCACCAGGTGAGCGTGGCGGGCAGCAAGGCGGGAGGCAGCGCGCCCAGCCTGGCTGGGGCCCGGGGCCGCCCCTTCCCTCCGTCGGCTTCCTGGCCGCACCGCAGAGTGCAGAGGTCGGCGGGCCGAGCCTTGTGTCCTTTGTGGCGCAGGATGTCCCAGAAGTACTACGAGTACTCTCACTACAAGGAGCGGGACGAGCAGGGCCCCCGGCAGCGCCCGCCTCGGGGCTCCCACGCCCCCTACCTCCTGGTTTTCCAAGCCATCTTTTACAGCTTCTTCCACGTGAGTGCCACATGCCGGGCCTCGGGGGTCCCAGATCCTACACAGTGGGGCCCGTCCCACAGTCTTTTCAGCTCCCCAGTCCACCTGCCCTTTCTCCAGCCAACCTGCTTGGTGGCCTCTGGCGACTAAGCCCTCACCCCCTCCACTCCAGGGTGCTGAGCACAGTCTCCGCGCCCCCGACCATGGGCTGCCCTGAGGCGGGAGGGCCCCTGTCCCCCGAGGCTGTGCGCAGAGGCCCCCATATCCAGTCTATGTTCCGTGCCCCAAGCCTGGCCCAAGTTGCCCTCCTGCCCGCAGCTGAGCTTCGCCTGTGCCCAGCTGCCCATGGTCTACTTCCTGAACCACTACCTGTACGACCTGAACCACACGCTGTACAACGTGCAGAGCTGCGGTTAGTTTTCTCTGGGCGGGGTCCCTAGGGCCTGCTTCCCCCCTCCCTGGGCCCTTCAGTGGACACTGGGCCCTCCAGGGCTCAGAGGGTGCCGCTGCTCACAGCACTCAGGGCTGCGATCCCCGTGCCTCAGCACTCTAGCGGGTGAGGCCCGGTGGTCAGGGCGTCTGACCCAGCCTGGGGTGGACATCAGGAAGGACTGTCTGGGGGACATGCCCTCTGGGCTAAGGCTGCTTGTGGGAACTTTCTCAGGGCCAGGCATTCCCCCAGAGCTCAGGGGGTGAGGAGTGGGGAGTGGAGGGCTCCCCCTTACCCCCCAGCCTAGGAACAGTATGTTGGGTGCTCTTTGGTGTGCATCCAGGGCAGTGACCTTAACCTCCAAATTGCTCCCCACAGAGCCCTGCCTCTGCAGGTGCTGACGTCCCTCTGCCCTTGGGTGGGGTGTTTTTCCCTGTGGCTGGGGCAACCTGTACCTTCTCCTCCTCCTCAGGTACTAACAGTCAGGGCATCCTCAACGGCTTCAACAAGACAGTGCTGCGGACGCTGCCGCGCAGCCGAAGCCTCATTGTGGTGGAGAGCGTGCTCATGGCCATGGCCTTCCTGGCCATGCTGGTGGTGCGTCCAGGGGGGTGGGGTGAGTCAGGTCTGGGTTGGGTTGGGGGGAGGAGGAGGTGCGGTCTGGAGGTTCCCGCCCGCGAAAGGTGGCATCAGGCTGGGGGCGGCTGGCCTGGGGAGGGGCCTGAGCCTGGGAGCCTGGTGAGGCCGGGAGGCCTGGTGATGCCCGTGGCCAGGGAATAACCCAGAGGCCGGGGGCCCGGGCCTGGTCCTAATGGACTGGCTGTACCCTGTGCAGAAGGAGAGTGGGGGCTTGGGGTGGTAACCCTGAGCGAAGGGTCTGAAGACTCAGCTTAAGCCTCGGGGAAGAACCGGAAGGCAAAATAAGGCGTCGGGGCGTGGCTAGGGCGTGGCCTTGGCTGGGAGGCGGAGCTAAGAGGCTGGGCAGGGCCGGGGCGCTGAGGCGGGGCCCGGGTGGGCGGGACCAGTGGGCGGCCCGGGGTAGGCAGGTCCGGTGGGCGGGGCCCGGGTGGGCGGGGCCAGTGGGCCAGCCTCCTCGCCCTGACCGCGCGCTCCGCTCCGCAGGTGCTGGGTCTGTGCGGAGCCGCATACCGGCCCACGGAGGAGATCGACCTGCGTAGCGTGGGCTGGGGCAACATCTTCCAGCTGCCCTTTAAGCACGTGCGCGACTTCCGCCTGCGCCATCTCGTGCCCTTCTTCATCTACAGCGGCTTCGAGGTGCTCTTTGCCTGCACTGGAATCGCGCTGGTGAGCACAGCCAGCGCAGGGTTGCCGGACAGCGCAGGGCGCCGGGTACATTTGGGTTTCAGACGGACAGCGGATCCTCCTTAAATACACGGCTACGTTTGTATGCCCGGGCCCCAGATACTCCCCTCCTCTTCCCGTGGCTCGCTTGCCCACCCCCTCTACCGGGCAGGCTACTTTAGCCGAGCCCTGGCTCCCTGCCTGTGAAGTGCCCCTTCCCACCTTCAGAAGTGTCACGCGGCTGAATAGTGACCACAAGGCCCGGAGTTCTTTGCGGATGTTGCCTTGAGGGTTCTTCTGGGGGTGGGGGATGCTGCAGGCATTCCAGGAAGCCTGGAAGGGAGTCAGCCTCCAGGTGACCCGAGAGGGCAGGGTGTGGCCTAAACTGAGACCTCCTGTGGGGATGCCTGCTGACCTCCCGTGTGCTCCCTTGTCCCCAGGGCTACGGCGTCTGCTCAGTGGGGCTGGAGCGCCTGGCATACCTCCTGGTGGCCTATGGCCTGGGCGCCTCGGCCTCGTCGCTGCTGGGCCTGCTGGGGCTGTGGCTGCCCCGGCCTGTGCCTCTGGTGGCTGGGGCCGGGCTGCACCTGCTGCTCATTCTCGGCCTCTTTTTCTGGGCTCCGGTACCTCGAGTCCAGCAACACGCCTGGATCCTTTATGGAGCAGCTGTCCTTTGGGGTGTGGGGAGTGCCCTCAACAAGACTGGGCTCAGCAGTGAGTATAGCCAGCTGGCGGGGCACCGTGGCTACCTGGGGGTGGTCGGGGGAGCACAGTTACTCTGGGGACAGACACACCGGGGTCTCGCACGGGGTCCTGTGGACACTTGAGGGCAGGATGCAAGTCCCATGAACACTGGCGGGACAGGTGGGGGGGCTCTGGACACCCTGGGGTGAGTCTGGGAGTTGCTGCCCCCTGAATCCCTTGTGGATACCTGGGGCTGTTTGGGGTTTCGTGGGCACTGTGGGGAGTGTGAAGGCACACACTGGTGGCACACTGGTGACACCACGGACACAGGCCCAACGAGCCATCGTTTTCATAACACTGGAGCTGGTGGGGAAGACCCATCGCCTGGGGGGCAGGGAAGCGGCAGGTGCCCTGTCTACACCTCAGGGTGTGGGTGCGACTTGACAGAGAGGAACCGGGGGTAGGCATGAAGCCCAGCATCAGTCTCTAATGTAACAGGGTCCAGGCCCCACGTCGGGGGTGCAGGGGCAGGGGCAGGGCCTCTGGGAAGGGCCAGTCTGCAGAAAGGAGGGAGTGTGTCTGCACGCAGCTCTCTGCCGGGCTGGGCACGGGCCAGTGACACGTGGCCGGCACAGGGAGGGAGGCACGGCCAAGCGGGTCCCTGCGGGTCTGCTTGTGGGCACCTCTTTCCCGGGGCCAGTGCTGCTGACAGTCTGCTCGTCACCGCTGGGAGCATGGCGCATGGAGCTCGCTGGCTGCCGGGGCAGGGCTGGCTGGCGACCCTTGCACCCACCGCAGAAAGATGTCTGAGGCTGCTGACTCTGCCCAGCCATGGCCGTTTTGCTGGCGCAGCCCAGGGCCCAGCCTGGGCGCCCAGGGCCGTGACGCGCCTGCTCTGCGCGAGGGCTTGGCACGCCTCTTCCACTCGCTTCCTGCCTTGCTCTGGGGCCCTTCACGGCAGCCTCCTGGGCGACTGTTGCCCTGTGGGGTCACAGGATGGGGTGTGAATGTCCTGAAGCCAGGTGCTGTGTGGGCTTTCTCGCCTTAAAAACTCACAACATAACCTCCACCACATGTCACCCCATTTTAGCGACGGGGGAGTGAGCCAGCCCCGGAGCTCACACCTCTGGGCCTACTCTCCCCACCTGCAGCCCTAAGAACAGATCTGGGGTCTCTGACCCTGTGCAGGCCTCTTCCTGCCTCATCCCCAGAGGCTTCTTTGAAAGCAGGTCCCCCTCCCAGCTCCTGGTTGGATTGGAGGTTTGTTGCTGGGAGCGCTGCCCAGCCCCCGCCGCGGAGGTGGGGAGGAGAAAAAGCCTCAGGCAGCCTGGCACTTGGTGCCCGAGGGCCAGAGGGAACAGGGTGTGACTTCATGGGAGAGTTCCTCTTCTGCCCCCAGGGTCAGGGACCTAAGCTCACACCCAGCCGGCTCCAGCCGCCGCTCCGCCGGCCTCCACTAGGGGGCGTCCAAGGACCGGCTCAGGAGATCCACAGGACCAGGGCGGGGCTGAGGTCACAGGTGGGCCCTGGGCCCTCACCTTTCTGCTCCGCCCTGCCCGCCCACAGCACTCCTGGGAATTCTGTACGAGGACAAAGAGAGGCAGGACTTCATCTTCACCATCTACCACTGGTGGCAGGCGGTGGCCATCTTCATTGTGTACCTGGGCTCCGGCCTGCCCATGAAGGTAAGGGTGGTGTGGGTGGACGGAGGGCCTCTGGGATAGTGGGCACCGCACAGGCCACCCGCAGGCCACAGATGCTTTCTGAGCACCCATCGTGGCCTGCAGCCCCAAGCTTAACACTCCTTTACCAACCTCACCTCTCACCAGCCGCAGCGTACCTGTCTCTGGAGGGGCTCAGGGTTGGCGTTTTCCTAAAGATTTTATTTTTTTCTTTTTGTGTAGAAGAGTTGGGGTACAGGCCAGAGGTGCGGGTGTGAGAGGCTTCACCAGGGACAGAGTGGGGAGCAGGGCAGGCAGATCCACTGAAATACGCTGCCGAGGGGAGCAGCGGGGAGACAGGAGCGGTCTGCCGTGCCCGTGGGTCCCTCCCTGGCCGGGCATCGGACTCAGGCCGCAGCGGCGGGCGACAGCTTCACAGGGCTGCGCTGTAACCCCTAGGCCACCAGGGAGACCCAGGACTGGCCTTCCCTTCAGGGTGCCCTCCTCTGACCTGGACGCGGAAGGTCTGTCTCTCCGGGCCCTTGGGGCCGGGCTGGAGGCTGCAAACAACATCTTAACCAGCGGAGCAGTAGGACAGAGTAGGGGCTGCGTTTGTGGACGGCAGCGTGTGTGCCGAGTTTTGATGTAAAGTGGCTGCTGGCTGGGGATTCTAGTTTCTGAAGCAGCCCTGTGGCCCCCACGTGTGCGGCACAGATGGAGCCAGGCTCCCCGAAAGGAGGGCCAGCCTGTGTCTGGCATCTGGCCGGCATCTTCACGGCCTCCGGCCAGGCACGGGCTAGCCAGCTGCGGCCCGAGGGTACTGCTGAGGGTAAGGGGCAGAGCCGGGGTCTGAGCCTTGGGGCTGGAGAACGGAGGAGCCCGAGGCGGCCGCGGGGCCAGAAGGAGCCACAGCGCCTCACCCCTCATCGGCCCGCAGGCAAAGCTGGCGGTGCTGCTGCTAACGCTGCTGGCGGGCTGCGGCTCCTACCTGTGGATGGAGCAGAAGCTGCGGCTGGGCG